AAATACGTATCATGTTAGACTTTTTTAATCTTTTAACTTCCCATTTTCTCCTTTATCCTTTTTGCTTTTAATGATTTAGGACCAAGAAGTTTTTCTGCCAAGACTGATCTCATGACAAAATATTCATGAACTTTCAGGTGATGCAAGCTCTTCTTCAGAATGTGAAAAGGGGCACAATCCTTCTTCCAACACTGACATTTTAGCGGTTACGGGTTAGCAGAAGCGGAATTTCATTTAATCTAATTTATGTAACTAGATATGCTTTCTAGTTACTTATCCCTTTAAGTGGTTATTTATACGAGTTATAGTTACTTATCACTGAATAATTAAAGTTCTTACAGGTTGTCAAAGTTGTTTATGATATTATTGTTCATAGAAGTTTGACAAAGATCTTCTGATGTCTTAAAGTGGAAATTGTCTTGTAATCGGAATGGAGAAATGTGTATCTAGTCTTTCTTTCATTTCTTTTCCAAATCCATAATATTATTGGACAACAATAGAACCTTGCATCATAACACTTGTCCCTGGCTCTAGGTACCTCTACCTTGAAATAGTGGGATTCTGCTTCATTTAAAGTGATATGAAAATCTAACCTAGTATTCTTTCTCGAAGAAAGATCATTAACCTTTTTTATAAGGTAAATTTAACCTAGTATTATAATCCGTACCGGATAGAAATCCCTTGATAGATGGTCAATAAGTTTTATCTTCGCTAATCTGAAATTTGCGAACAGTTTTTTATTGTGGTTTTCAAGAGCTTGTCATTCATTCTCTCTTTCATGATTTTCTCCATTCTTCTTTTTAGGTAGTGGAACTGGAAATGAAACAGATAGAGTTAAAACTTGCAGCGAGCAGCGATTTCCTCTTCCAGGAGAACCTTCTTGTGTGGTATGTGGGAAGTATGGGGAGTATATATGTGATGAGGTAAGTTATTGGATCGATGAATCTAGTTCTCTTTTTGTTTTTCTGCTCCTGTCTTAATGAACCCCATATCTTTATTTACTTTGCGTGCAGACTGATGAGGACATATGCAGTATGGATTGCAAAATTGAGCACCTGCAAAATCTTAAACTCCAGCAGGTGTTTTCCACTTTCATCCTGTTTTGCATATGTAGTCTAGCATGGATGCATGTGAAAAGATTTCATGATTTAACTATTGCTTTTCAAAATTGGGACCTTTTGTTAATGATGAAGAAATTAATGATGAAAACATATGAGCTAGCAATTGTCAAAAGGAAAACAAGAGCTGATTTTTCTGTGATAAATTCCCTTGCTAGACACATATTTTTATGTTTTCATAGATTTGTTGTTTCATTTTAGTTAGATAGAGAATATTGGTGTAATACTACATATCTAAGATAAGGAGCTCCTGACAAGAAGAAAGCAAAAGGCGTGGGAGTTCGGCCCGTTAGCTCTCATGTGGATAGTTTGGGGGAGAGAAATAGGAGAGCTTTTGAGGGGATTGAGTCTTTTTTTTCACATCTTAAGAATAGTCTTTTATCTTTGATCGCTTTTTGGTGCACTCATATAGCCCCACTTGTATAGAAGATTGGGCGTCTTTTGTAGAGAATCATGTTTTGATGTAAATTCTCTACTTTTTGGTATACTTCTGGTACACGGGAGTTTTTTTCTCCCTTTTGACTAATACAATTTACCTTGTCAAAAAAAGGAGCTCCTGACTGCAATCATTAATAAGATTAGCATAATGTATGCTATTATTTTATAACTTGGTGATTACCTCCTTAGCATCGAGATTAACTTCCGGGGGGATCAAGCCATAGCTTTGTGCTAGGAGTAGGCGTTGTAGTAAAGCATGCAGCTCAGCCTGGACACTAAGCTGAACATACAGTCTTATATTTGTATAGAATGTCTGGCTTATGTCTTGGAAGGGTGGATTATGGAATCTGGTAAGGATAAACTAGCAAAGGGACGAACTATGTAATCAGGAAAAATACATGTCACTAGGATCTTGTTGCCATCTCCAAAAATCATCAGATAAGAATTCAATATAAGGGTCCGATATGTTGAACATTGGAGCTTCCAACTAAACTGGAGTTGTAATGTCTGTCACGAATCAAGATATGTAGTAAGCACCCAATGTGTAAATCATTTGAACAGTAGTCTTACCAAAAAAAAAAAGCATTTGAGCAATATGTACTTTTATGCATGTAAGAGATACCTGCTTCTTCAACTCCATATGTTTCTCTGATGATGTCTTTAGGGGCCCTTGAGTAGCCAAGTCCAAGCTGCGTCTTTTTCTGGACAAAAGTGCAAACTGGAAGTTCCTGAATCTGGAGGTGACACCTGGGATTATGACCGTCATCGGTGGTCCATGAAGAGATCTGCTTTTTGTACTTATGAGTGGTATGCTTGTTGACATTCATTTTGAATACGAGTAATCTCTCAATATTAGGTCTTGCAGTACCAAAGACTTTATCTGTTAATACGTTGATAATCCTTCTCTGAGATCAAGCTCCACTTAGATTTACATTATGACATAATGTGCTGCATGTAGCAACCACCTTTATGGTAAAAAATTAAATGTGCCCTTATATTGTGTTCCTGATTGCTATGAGAGGGTATTTTTTCTAAGTATAATTTCACTGGTGTAGTTGGAAATGTCAGAGGCCAGGTCATCTTCCTGAAGATTGTTTGGTCACAGCATCAAAAAATCAACGCCTTTCCTTTGGTCAAGCTGGTGAATCCAGTGATCAGGTATTACTTCCGTTCTTAAGATTTCAGAAAACAAGCCAGTAGCAAGTAGTAGTCATATATTTGTTATGCTAATCTTAATAATGCCTGACACAGGTGGAAGTGGCTCAAAGTAAATCCATTATACCCAAAGAGCTTCTGCCACTGTATAAAAGGTTCCTTTGTTCCTTTCTAGTTTTGATTTTAAATTGTACTCTGATTTGTTTTTTCTGAGAAAGAAAAAAAATTAATTGTACTTTTGTATATACTATATTTGTGCAAATTTCAGAAGCCTCCGCCCTCCACCACAGAAGGAAGGAGGAAGCAGAGAGAATATTGACCATGTGTGCTTGTGCTTTATGAATGTTGACCATGTATGCTTGTGCTTTATATGTTTGGTGTGTCTTCATTTTCACTTTGTGTGTGAATGATGAGTATTCTCTGCTCACTATTATTAAGAAATTGGACCTTGGGTTAATTCAACCTCAAAAGCTAGCTCATGAGGTGAGGATTGCCTAAAACCGTATAAGGAGACAGTAGCTCATTCACTCAACTAATGTGGGACTATTAACAACTATGGTTTAACATAATCAGCATAATTGACTACCCTATGTTGGATTAATCCCCATCCATCTTTTGAAATTGTTTGTTATCCTACATGATCTTTGAGTCATCGATGACAATGATGAAAAAAATGTAATATAAACTTTAAAGTGTTGTCATGCTTTGGTATTATATTCACCACGAATCAAATTAAATATACATAATTCAATGAATTAACGTCTGTTCAATTTTATTTTATTTTATTTTTGGAAAAAAATACCTTCCTGATCCTCAACTAAATAATAGGCATTCAATCTATGTTCCAACTACTCTATATTTCCATTTCAACACATGAAGAGTGATACGTGAAAGCACAGATAATAAGGTATTCACTTTCTTGGTTTTAAAGATGTAATCATTTTTTTTTCAATTTGGAAATTTGTATTTCGAAGGAATGAGAATACATATAAAAAAATAAATAAACATTTAGATGGAATGTTTGCCTAATGCTTTTAGAAGGTGTGTTGCCAGGCTCTTTTCTGTCTGGCATCCTGCTAAACCTTCCAGTAGATGCTTTTGTTGAATTTAATACTTGCCTCTATTGGTTCAGATTTCTGTCATCTTTCCATGGAAAGGATGATCAACATTTAAACTAAGTAGTTTACTTCTGATGACAAAGATTAATCGATAGCTGCATGGTAGTGGTAATACTTTCTAAAGCTGAAGTCTTTGTTCCCTCTTGACATGTGAAAGCTAAAATCAACTAGATAAACCAAGTTAACAAGTTAAACAGTCATACATTTGCATTTAGGATTAGATTCAGGTCCATCACTGAAATTGGTTTTCGGTCTCTTTTAATCTGCAGGTGCCAGCAAATTGGAAAAAGCGCATTGGACGCTAACTGTAATACCTGCCGCAGGTCAACTACTTTAGCCATGTGTCTTGATTGTAGTAATACCTTTTGTGACAGGTAATTTAGCGGCCTTTGACGAGATCTCAGCTTTATGTATTATAATATTTCTTGATGAATGAGTATGTGTCACCTTCTTTTGACAGCATCAAATAGCTTTTTTCAGAAGGGAGTGATGACTTGTTAGGATGGCAAATAAGAAAAGTGTTAGAATAGCAAACTTTGGTGCCTTCTCCTAATATAGAAATTAGCTCTCCCCCTCATTCGGTGTGGCTCCTAAAGTAGGTCTATACATGTTGCTTGAGCCTTGATTGGAGGATCTGCTTTTATTGGGGGATAATAGGGGAGATCCCCTACTTCCATGGTTGAACATAACGAATAAAGATTTGCAAATATTCAAATAAGGAGCTGGGAAACTGAAGAGATACCTTTTTGAACATCACAGTTCTTGGCCTTCTGAACCAGTGGAGCTTATGATTTTTCATTTTGTAATGCAGAGGAATTGCTTAATCTTTATCTATGTTGATCTCAGTGCAGGTCACCTGAGAGAACATATCACTGGACATCCCTCTCACAGACAATATTACTCCTACAAGCTCAAGCGCTTGGTAAAAGCTTTACCTATCTTAGTTCCCATAAATTCAAGTTGTCGTAAGTTATCTGTTTCATATTGTACTTAAGGATGTGCAAAATGTGACCATTAAAGGACCGCGTAAGGCTTCTAATTTTCGTTATAGTACTATATTTTTGCAATTTAATAATTATTAAGACACAAATGTGCCAAAACATAATATCGGCATATTAAATAAATACAAGCTACATCTTGTTTATGCTTATTTTTGGAGCATCGATATGAGAAAAGTTTACTTAATTTGACATACCATTGGAGTCCAAAGTCATAAACGCTTGATAACTTCCCATGGAGTTCTATCGTCGCTAGTTATACATTCAGTTGACTTTAACTTCAGGATGGCAACCTGTATGCAATGCCAATATAAGCTAAGATTTAGTAGAGCTCCCTGTTTCATTGCGTGCCAGTGTTTTGAATCACTGCTTTTGATATTAACTCCTCCCAAGTGAGGTTTGCAAAGTATAGCCGGTCCCAAGCCCTAAAGGAGAGTTGCTATAGGTTGACAGCCAATGTTAAAGTAGTTTAGTCATGTGTGGGATCCAATTATACTAGCGCTAATACCCCATCCCATCAGAACTCCAAAGCTAAGCATTCCTGACGAGAGTAGAACTAGGATGGGTGATCCCCTATGAAGTCCTAGTGTTGCGTTCCTTGCCGACCTCAACTAGTTTGGTATTAAGGTATAGTTATTAATTGATACTGATTTTAATTTTATCACCATTTAGTTGTTCTTGATATTCTTATATACAGCTTGAGTTTATCATGTTTACCTGTATGTTCGGCATGCTTAATGACGCAGTTATTTAACATAGGTTAAATGCTGCAAATCTACGTGCAAAGTGAGAGACATCAAGGATCTTTTAGCTTGTCACTATTGTTTTGATAAGGCTTTCGACAAATTCTATGACATGTATTCTGCAACTTGGTATGTGGTGGTTTTACATCTAATGGTCCTGATAGGAAGTGATAATTGCTATTGGTGCCCCTCCCAGCAAAAACACCATCACAACAAAAACGACAATTTTTGCTCAACATAAAAATTATAAAGACAACTTATTCTAACGTCTTGATAAAATGATTGATCATCATAATGTGCTTTGATTCAAAAGGCATTCCATCATATAGCATGTTATGACTAAAATTCTCTTGAATCCAATTCCTAAGCTATCCACTTCTCTGAACTTGTTCAGGGCCTGGTATAAGCATTTTTTTAAGAAAGGTAACAGATTTTATGTATCATCAGCACAAAGGCTGTGCTGGAGCCATATTTACAATATCAAAATGCTAAAAAAGCATGTCCTTGTTCTTCTTACAAGGATTCTATGACATCCAACAGTGAATGTGAATCATTCAAGAATTCCTCTTTACACCAGAAATGAAACAAAAGAAGGCAATTCATCTTAATCTTCTGGATTGAGCTGCATTTGTCTTCAAAACATCTTGAATTTCTTTCCTGGTGTAAAGCATTTTATTCCTCGTAAATGACCAGTTAATTATTTTGCTATATTCAGGAAAGCAGCTGGACTTTCAATTATCTGCAATTCCATTTGCTGTGAGGATCACTTTGAATGGTAAGTGGATAACTTTAATAATTTCTGCATGTTTTGTACTACCACATCTCCATACTCAGACTACAAGAGCTACCTCCACAGGCACAGGATAAATTGCTTGAGTGCAGGTGTAGAAGACAGTGCCTACATTGTACAGAAACATCCTGCAAGTAAGAACTATGTATTGAGCAACTTCATCTTCTGAAAGAGTTGATGCGAGATGATGTTTCCTTTGCGGAGCAGTATGAGTTGGTGCTGAAGTTGCTAAGCCATTTTTCATCGTCGCAGTTTAATGTTTTCTGATACTTTTTGAGCTGCTGTCTGATAAACGAGTTAGCTCTCTGACAATACTAAATTCAGACGCAGAAGAGCATTCTGGCTAAGCAAAGCTGGAAAAAGAAGTTGCTATTATCAGTTGCAAGGCAACATTTCTGAAATTTTGTTGTGTGCTGAGGTGCCGGTGACCATTGTATACTCATGGAAATCTGAAGATGGGGGAGATAATTATGAGTTCCTTGAGTTGCCATCTCGTTCACTATAGAATTAATTTATATATAGAGACAACATAAAATGTTTTAATGCTGATAATGTATTTTAACCTTTTATGGTAGGTAAAATGTTTTATTTCTCAAATTGTTATCCTACGTTTTATAGATAGTTACAGTTAACTTTTAGGTGCATGAAAGTATAAAAAATTCTTTTACGCTCTAATTAAAAGTTAAAAACTCATTCACCATAAACTTTTTCCCACCGCACCGACTTTGACAAGTATCAGAGTTATGTAAGTACAATGGCTTATAAGGGTGTCAATGGTTATTTAAAAACCGACTAAATCGATCAAACTAAATCGTGCAGAATCGATTTTTAAGTTTATTTTAATAAAATCGTAGGCTTTATATAAATTTATAATCGTGCTGATAATTAGGAAAAAATATAGAACTGTGACGAATAAATTTATAATGTGAAAAATATATTTATATAGTAAGTTTAAAAATAATAAAACATTAAAAAATTTCTTCGGCTTTGGAATTATGAAACAGTTACAAGCCAACAAGTAATTAAACTCAAAATCCTAATTTCTAAACTTATTATGCTATTCCTATTGAGACAAAATTATTTCCAGCATATTCACCGGCAAGACACAAGGTATTGTAGCGATTATGAGTAGCAAACTACAATATATTGAATATATTTCCTTTCGTATGATTTAGATTTATCTTTTTGAATATTTAATCTTATATAGACTTTATTTTTGAACTCTGGCTTGGTTATTATCTTTCCATTCATGTGATTTATATTTTCTTTCTATTTGCTTAGTTTCTTTTACGCTGCAGTAGAATAGTTGATGGATCTATACTCTAACCATCTTTCATATTTTCTTAATTCATCATCATTTAAACTATAAAAATGTCCAGAGAGTTTTGTTAAGTCCTATAAAAGTATATATGTTATTGCATTATACTTCTACTAGTGAATTTTACATGACATTTAAAAAAATTACCGAAAATTAACTGAACCGTATAGATACCAAAGAGAAACCGACATGATTGGGACGGTTTCGAAAAGTCTAATTTTGGTTATTCATAATAGAATAATCGAAAAATTTGTATAGCACAAATTTTATAAAATAACCGATCGAACTGAACAATTTACACCCCTAATGGCTTAGACCTACGGTGTGTCCTAAGTCCTAATATGTTACAAAAATTTAACTAACGATTCAATCAAACAAATTAAACAAATTTATTAGTAATTCTTAAAATAATTTTTTTTACTACTATTAATAAGAGGGAGTAGAGGAGCTTCCGGTCAATGTGAATTGACCAAAAGACCATGGTACTTTCGTTTATTCCCTAAAATATCCTTTCATGTGAACATGCCTGCTTGTTTTTAGAGGGTTATTATTGTCTTTTCATCAGTCATTTCAGCCGCATTTTAGTAAATTCCATGCATAGCATTGACAGGTGTACTTTAAATATTGGAAAAGTGGGACCCATTAACACTTGTCTGCAAGGTATTCCTCTAAGATATGCATAGTATTTACGTGGGCTCCATTAACTTTCAGTGCCACAACCTTTGCGCATGCAATTCTCAACGTGGGACCATGCTTATACTTGTTCAAAATACAAGTACTTCAACTAATCTAACATTTTCATATTGATAACAGCTTTTATAGCAGATTTGATTAACAACTTTGCTTAATTGTAATTCTCACTTTAATTTTAACTACTATAAAAATATTATATTTAACAACTGACAAATTAAAGCATAGAAGTCTAAAACAAGTGAGACAAGTACCTGCAATTCGATTTCATATATTCAAAAGTAAGTATACTTGTACAACTCCGCTATCAAGCATGTTTCAATGACATATTAAGTTTCGTGATGACCGTAAAATTGAGATTAAATTTGTTGATCATACTTAAATTTTCTGTGTTTAAAACTCATTACATTCCCCCATTTCGCACCCAATCTCCATTTGCCTATTACCCAAATAGAACCAATAATTATTTGCCTAGCGCTTTAACAGTGCTACTATATGCTTTCTTTAATTAGGAAAAAATCAATTTCTTAATCAAGGTTCATTTATATTTCTAAAACTCAATATTTTATTTATTAGAAAATACAGTGAAATAGAATAGTAAGAGTCAAGAGCTCAATTTGGATTCAAGAAAGTTACCCGCTTATAATATCAGTAAAAAGCCCGTTAAATTAGAGAGAGAAAAATTGCATGTTCAATTAGAATATGATTGTAATATATCTGTTAAGAGTGTTGAATACCACCTAATTCCTATAACAAACGTAGTTCTTGAATATAAAACTAATTTTTTGTAAAACAAATAAATAAATAAAATATGAAGATAAATGTATATAACATTAAAAATACAATTGTTTACTTCTTTTGTTTTTAACTTTAGTAAATTTACGTTCTTAGCTTCTGATGTTGCTTCAATGGCGATTGAAAAGTCATACAGTGGTTCATGATTATATTTTAAGCATCATTAGATTAATGTAAAATTGATCAATGATGTATGACAAACTTCAGAATTTTGAGCAATAATAAGGCTTCTTTGTACTTCATTCCATTGTTTGGATATTTTTCAA